ACAATAATAAAATAATGTCTTCTCTATAATTGCAACTGTGAGATGTATATCAAATCATTTCAGACAATGAGTAAAAACGAAAATTATTATTGCTCATATTTAAGCAATAGTTTTTCCTCTTGAAGTTTGTACTTTCTGTGTTGCTTTCCTAATACAGATAAATAGGAGGAAAGGACTGGGTGCAAGAGTTTCTGTGCTATTTCTAAGAATAAGAGAAAGAGAAACCAGTAAAGGAGGAAGGGGTACCATTGGGGTGCTGCCCTTGGGAGAAACTAATGCAGATCTCACAGAACCATGGCTAATTTCCATAAGAACAAGTTGTCCTAAACAGAGCAAGCCTGGCTCCTTACTTGTCTCACCCACCGTGCGATTTACCCCTCTTCACTGGCTCCCACCATGATACTATCCATACAGTATTTTGTCATGCAGTCAGAAGGCAGAAGCAGAGCTGACGGGATACCTTCATCTTAGGCTTTCAGCCTGAAAACTGTAAACTGGATAAACCTCTTTTCTTTATTCATTCGTCAGCTCAGGTATTTTGTGACAGCCACAGAGAGTGGACTTATACACTTGTCTTCATCTCTACTCTCATCTAAGACAAAAAGAAATGTCAGGATTGGTGCCTGCAAAATCTGACCACAGGGCCCATGTCTAAGTGCAATCCATATTACCTCTGGAGGGTCTGCCACAGCCTACCAGATATCCATATCAATAAGATGGGGGAAGGCCAGAGGACAAAGAGAGAGTATAATTATATTACAACCTACACTAGGGGTTTGTGGAAACAAATGATAAGCCCTGATTAAAATTAGAATTGAAAACCTAAACCACAAACTTTAGTTACTCAAAATGCTGAGAGAAGAAACTTCATGAGAAAATTTATGAGAAGCTTGTCAGTACAAACAGCTTTGGAAATGTAAACCTGGGACTGGAGAGATGGCTCAGAGGTTAAGGGCATGGACTCTTCTTGCAGAAGACCCAGGTTTGAATCCCAGCACCCACATGGTAGCTAACAACCATCCATAACTCCAGCTCTAGGGGATCCAACACCTCCTTCTGTCCTCCACAGTCATTGCATGACATGGGTGCACTTACACACATGCATGTATAATACTCATACACATAAGATAAAAATAAATAAAATTTCTAAAATTGTTAAAAAGAAAATGTTAGCCAATAAGAGATCAACTCCCTTCAGCTTAGGAAGAAAAGCAAGGCATGAGAGAACATTTACCTGTTTTTATAAAGTTTGTGTTCAATCTGTATATCGTTTTTAGGGAATGCTTCATGCATCATATGTGCTCACTGGACACAATCCTCTTGGCTAAATTGTTCCAACTTTTGGTATCCATGTTGCTAGCAAGGCTTAATCTGCATTTATTCTTTATATCTACTTCTGCCTTAAGAACAGTTGAATTTCTAAAAGCCTTTCCTAAAAAGCCTCATGAAACTCCTACCACAGAGGTTCATTTCCACAATTAGCTTCCACTGGTTGTTGTAATCTCACAACTATTTTTATTATAGAAATCAACATATGTTAGTAAGTTGTGGAGAATCACATAGGTCCTCTCAAAATTGTAAAACAGAAAGTTGGCTGTGTTTACCAACTGTATCTGCTGATTATATAACTTACTACAAACAACACAAAATAATGTAGCTATGAAGCCTCATCCTAAATTTAAAAAACAGAAAATTTTTTAGCCTATTTTTTCCAAGTACCAATAGATGAAGGATCATAGATTTTCTCTCTTCTTCTACAAGCCTGTGCACCCAGAGCCCATCTCCAATGTGGGATAAGGTGCCTGCCCTGCTGATGTCACAGTCACCAAGAACAAAACAGACCATGGAAGTTGCCTGGTGCCTTGTGTACATCACAGTAGACTCCTGATGATGGCACAAAAAGCTGACTGAATTCTGACCTCTTCTTGGATATTGGGTGTAATACTCTCACTGTGTTGGACAGCCATAGCAGGACCCAGTGCCAGGCAGCTATGTGGTCACAGAGGCAACCACTTACACTCTAGAAGGCAGAGCTACTAAGCTGTGATGTAGTGTAAGTTAGATATGTTAAGGGCATTTTGGACAACAATATGCTCAACTTAAGATGAGTTTATTAGAAAGTAACCACATCACATGTCAGGAAGCATTTGTACAGATATAAATAAAACCACGGGGTATTGTTGGCTATAGAAGAGAAAAGGTATGTTGTACGCAAGACCAGGGTCTCCTATTATTTTGATATTTTGATTGCTGTACTGAGGTTGGTTTTTGCCAACTTGACAAAAACTAGAGACACCTGGGAAGAGGACACCTCAGATGAGGAGTTTCCTCTATCAGACTGGCCTGTGGGCATGTCTGTGAAGCATTCTTTTGATTTCGGATTGGTGTAGGCAGGACCACCCCACTGTAGAAGGTGGGCATCCATGGGCAGGTGGGTCTGAGTGGATGACAGAAGCCTTGAGTTCCTGCCTTGACTCCCCTCAATGCTGTGTTGAGACCTGGGAGTTTAAGAAAAAATTAGACCCTTTCCTCCCCAAGTTGGTTATGGTCAGTGTTTTACCAGAGCCATAGAGAACCAAACTGGAACAGTTGTGAACCAAGAACCTTGGAGAAATCACAAGACATTCTTACATCCCATTTGAGTGATGTGGAGAGAAGGCTCAGCAGAAGTAGTCAAATCTGTCCTAGAAAGGCTTAGATTTGTCTCCATACTCTCTCTCTCAGTACCAAAACCTTTATTTATGCATATATTTGTGGTGCTGGGATGGAACTCAGGGTCTTGCATGTGCAAGGAAAATATTCTAGGAGTGAGTTATAGCCTGCCTCAGCCCAGAACTAAAGCCTTGATTCTGTAAAAACCTGCAAATTAGAAGGAAGATTATCTACTGTGTGACCTCTTTCCAATGGTGAGAACCTACACAACTCCCTTCAACCCCCTGGGAAAGTAGCATATAGCAGATGTTCAATAAATACACTCATCTATAAAAATAAGGATGAGTAAGATGACCTCTAAATTTTTACATTTGAATATTCAGAATTTGGGTGCAATTAAAAAAAATTTGGAAGGTCATCTGGGAGCCAAACCCAGGTCTATTCCCAGGAAGCTTTAGAATCTCTGTCATTATTTACTCCAGTTCACCTTCCTTCTGCCCCTCCCCCACCTCTCTCCTTAGTTCTGGTTGGAAGTCTGCCTACAAATTTTTCCTTAGCATGAAGAATGAGTTACTTGTAAATTCATTAATGAAGATTTGATAAAAGTCTTTTAGAAACATGAAAGTGTCTTTAAACCTTAATATATTTACATCACTAGTAAGCTTAGAGCACTTTAAAGCTTTTGATACAAGATATTCTCAGAATGTCTCTAAATGTAACTAGGGGAAATAGCCATATCCCACTTTCCAGAGAAAAACAAGATGGGTCTTCTGTACACCAGGCTGAATTCCCTTACAAAGGCATGGAGCAAGCTGGGCTGAAAACTAACCCAGGAGAATGTGTCTTTGAAGGAAATCATCTCCCTATGCCTTGGGAAGTGCTTGTGGGCTTTGTTTGTGCTGCGCCAGAACAGAGACTTTTCACAAAGGGACTGTTTTCCAAAGAACAACAAGAGCTGCTATTTTAAACTTGAGGGTTTGAGATTGTATCTGGACCGTTTACACAAGCAAATGCTGGCTGTCTGACATCTAACCCCAGTGTTTGCTGGTTCTGCCTTCCAAGTAAAGTAAAAGGAGGGAGGAATTTGCATTTAATCTCTGGAGCTGCAACAGAGGAGTTCTGCAGTAGTATTTGAGCTGTGCAACGTGGGCAGAAAACCCTGCCTAGCAGTCCCTTACCCATGAACACACTGGTGAGGTTTGTCACCCAAGTGATCTTGGGAATTAAAAGTATGTAGAAGATTGTGAAAGGCACTTTGTGAGAATTGAGAATGAACAGTCAGCAACCACATATGTGTGTATCTGTATGTGCCTGTTTGTGTGTCTGTATGTGCGTGTGTGTCTGTGTGTGTGTGTCTGTGTGTCTTATTCCTGCTCTTGCTAACAGGCATAACTACATGATTTTAAGTCAGGTTACTTGGTTCAAAACCTTGCTTCACCATTAGCAAGGCTCATAAGGTCTCCAATCTCAAACTGCCCCATTTGTAAACTGGATATGGTATAGCCATGGTACCCACACTCCAGGAAGCCATTGCTAGTAGTGGGATGGGGCTGACAGGCCATAATTGCTGCTTGGACTTTTCCCCCAGACCCACTGAACAGGAAAGTATTCCAATTTTTCTATGTCCAATAAAAAGCAGAAGCAACAGCACCACTTTGCTCTGGGTATTAGGCTTAAACTAATCATGATTAATAATTACAAACAACCATCACAATTCCCCCAGTGTTTTCTCTCACAACATATGGGTAACAGAGTTAGAAAGAGAAATGCCAGCCAAGCAGGATGAAGAAAGGAAATGTGAGCCCCTGAGGAGGTAAAGTTCCCCCCAACAGGACTGTCGTTTAAAAAACACAGCTAAATCTTTCCAGGAAAGTCAAACACAGCCAAGTGTGCTCAGCAGGGGGTCAGAATCACATTTCCACCTCCCTGACCAATTTAAAACCAACGGAAAAATTGCTGTGACTGCCTGTGACCAGCTGGAACTCT